CAGTTCAGGAGGCGCAGGCTCCGCAACACCTTCAGCAGCTGAATCACCTCGGGCGGACAAATCCTGTGCTCCTGCGCCTGCGCCTGCCGGCTGCCTTGCTAACGCCCCTCCTCCTCCGACCTCGCCCGATTCGTCCTCCCCCTCCTCCTCCGCCATCCATCCCCTGTCCCTGTGCTCATCATCGTCCTTATCCTCGTCCTCCTCCCCCTCCTCTCCATACATACTCCTATTCATCCACCTCCTCCTTCCCCTGTCCCGAAGGTTCCCCCTGTTTCCAAACCACAGCTCTAAGCTGTTTAAACTATCTTCAGCCTGACCTCTCCGCACTACTGCACCTCTTCGTTTCCTTTCTCTCCTCTGCCTCCTGCGCCCCCTTTCTCACGTCCTCCTCAAGCACATGCGGTCCGAGTCCCATCCGTAGCATTCGGGGCTGCGATGGGCCTTCACTCGTTTCCAATGCCTCCACGTGGCGCTTGGAGCGCTCCTATTCCTGTCCCGACTATGTCTGTACAGCAACTGTCGGACGGCGACTGGCCGAATTCGTCGAGTGCGGCTTTCAATGTGATGGGTTTGGTGTGGAGTTGTGTTCGTTCGCGCTCGGGAATTGAGGTGTCCAACATGTTTATGTGTATTTGAATGCGCGGCTCACGGGTACACTCCGTAGGCTTTTCCCACGCATTTAAGAGAGCCGGGGAACACGAGGTGCGACCAATAAGGTGAAGGTCGGCACCTGCATTGCGTGTCAATGCTAATTCCACATGGCGGGGCCGTGCTATTTCACAACGCCTGTTGCGGGTTGCTTGGCGGTGGCTTCCAAGAGTGCGCTGCGATGCTTGCAAAGTTGACGGGGCTGTGTCGTGATTTGAATATCACATTCGCTCTGTTCTGGGAGGCTGTGTTTGTCAGACGTGGAATTCGTCCTCGAATGCGTGAACGTGCCCTTCTCTGTTGTCTCACTGCTCCGACGGCGCGCGCGTTGTGGTAGACGAATCAGGCTCCGTCTGGGTCGCGGCTTCCTGGATTCCCTCCTCCCCCAGTTCTCACCATCGTCATATCACCCTCCTGCGTTTTCCTTGAGGTTGCCTGAACACCTGTGACTGTCTTTCCCGTGGGGGGGGGGGATGGCGCTGGGTAGCGGCAGCGCGTGGGCGGCGTGGGGCACGTCGGGGCAGGGGTGCGCTGCGGTCGCCGTGGTATGCGCGCGAGCACCAACACGTGGGGGTGGAGTGCAGGCCGCTTGGTGGAACCAGCAAAAGGCACAAGTACCAACCCCGATCGACTGGGGCACATCTCAAATGACTGGAAAAAACCGATTACTGCACATTACGACCCGCCATCTCAAGCCATAAATGACGGCTATGGTTGCGCAGCGTTTCAGCACGATCTGGAACATATATCCCTTATTAAAGGTAAAAGTGTGTCCTGAGACCCACAGTACGTGCCAGCGTTGGAAGTCGTAAACAGCGTTGCTTAGTAATGCCTGGGAGTTGCGTAGACTTCAAATGAACATCAAGCAATCGTTATACTGGCGCTCTGTGCATCGTCGACGACATGTACTTGTTCACACGGCGGCGGTCCTGTTTCGTCTTATATCGTCTTTTGTTGAAGGTGTGAAAGAACAATTTGAAATCTGGATAGGTTTCGCACAACAATTGCACACTGTTCTTATGACAAGCGCGTGTAACAATCAGAGGACTCAATACATTCATGCGGTGACGTGCCATCTGCAAAAAGTATTTGTCGTGCGGGAAGCGTGCGCTTCACAATACAGGGGTAATATTATCGCATGGCATATTCGTAATATGATGAGTCTTCGGCGTCCCGGCTGCGGCGTGACAGCGGGGCAGTTTGCATACGATATATTCAAATTATTTCCTGCGAAAGTTGCTGTCGTGCCTATGACACTTCCCAACTGTTATATAAACTGTCTCGGGCTGTGCCATTGCACGAACTATTCAATTACCATTCGAAGGACGGGGGTTTGCCTATGACTGTAGTCTGCGCACAGGACGCATATGAATTGCATCAGGTAGATGCGCATTTTCAACACAATACGTGGTTCGGACCCATGTAAGAGCATTGATAGTTTGGCATGGCAGTTGATTATATGCCACGCTGGAATCGTATAGCACGCGCATGAAGAATTCCATAGTGGCCGAATGAGGGACGCACGGGTGCAACAGTGGAACCAGACTGGCTCCAGATGAACCTAATGTGATTGCAACAAGAGAGGGACTGAGAAAGAGAGAAAGAGAGCGTGATCCACTGCCGCTCTACTGTGGAAAATTCCCCTCCCTCTTCTTCCGAACCCGTGGGTACCCCCCCCCCTCCTTCGAAAATCCTCCCCCCCCTGCTGGACCCCTCCTCCCCCCCTTCCCCCGCCCCCCCCTTCCACAAAACTGCCTGGTCGATACCCCCCCCTCCCCGTCCATCATGAAAAAAAAGTGGGCTCACCACCGGCTCGATAACCCCCTTAACGCCGGCAAACGACTCCCGGGTC